CAGGAGAAAGAAAAGGAAACAGCAATTAGTTTTTATGATAACATCATTGTCTCCCCACACACATAAAAACAGAAAAATCAAGAACACCGTTGTTCTCACATACATATAACTATTGTTTTCTCTATATATCAGTTATGAGTCAGCTAAGATCTAACATAGCCAAAATAAATTACCTATCTTGAGATATCGAACACCCAGCAGCAGCATCAAAAGGCAGTAATGGTCGGATCCTGCAGTGGACTCTGATATTTCCTCTCAGTTCCTAGGGTTAGAACATTAAGATGCGTTTAATACAAGCTATTGGAGAGGACAGATACACTGGAATTTGTGAAGCAGACATGAATGAATTTAAGAAAGCAGGTGTTTACAACATGAGTCTTAGACTCTGTGGAGAGAAAAATAGTATCAATATCATTTGCCTTGAGAAGTTATTAGGAGAAAGTAATTGAGGAAGTATGAGCTCTTCAGAGCTCTGCAATGGTGTAGCCTTCTCCAGTCTATATATTAAAAAAAAAAAAAAAAGGCTTTAAATCTGAGCCATTTTCCCCTCTTCAGTCTCCTTCCTCTTTACTTGAGCTTCTTCAGACACCTCTAATAACTCAACAGACAAGATTACACACTCCATTTCTCTTCCACCAGCCCTGAGGAAGATGTGGAATATAAAACATTTTGTACCTTTTCCTCTCCACTGCATGTTCATACATGACTAAAAAGTCAGTAACTGATTTTTCTCTGCAGGCTGTTTCAGACTTCAGTTTATCTAACTTGGTGTTTTTCCTTCCTTTTTGTTGGTGATCAGTTCTTCTCATTTTGTATTAGTGCAAACAGCTTGCCTGTGATGACTAGTAACCACTGGCATTACCTCCCCACTGCCTTGGGGATATCCTTTTGGTAAACTGCAACACAAGGCAGAGTTTGGAAGGTAAGTACTTTTTAACAAAGAGCTTCATTTTCCCAGGTAGAAAAAATTGAGAGAATTTTGTTTGAAGGCAGCTGTGTTTCTAAAAATCAGGTCCTGAATCAGGCAACCCAAAACTAGTAATCTGGGGGGCTGGGGAGGAAGAGTAAAGTTAAAGTACAAAAAGGAAAAAATTAATTCCAAATGAACCGTCACTAATGGCTGAGCAGGATACAGCTTGACATATTTGGAAAAATAAATGATGACCATTTTGCAATTGCAAGTTGATCATTTTAGGAATTCTAATACAATTTCAGAAGCTGCAAATTTAGAGAAGAGGATGAAGAAACTCAAGTTTTGTCCACTATTCAAAATGGATGATACTCCTTAGGATAATATGGTGCATGAGTGCATTTGGAAGATGCTTGTGTAAAAAGAATGGGGTAGGGTTTATGGTAAGACAAATGTGCCTCAGCAAAGAAATGCATCGTATATAGACAGCTGGGGGTGGTGACATATCCATGAAAAGTATATTCACTAGTTCTATTGGTGAGGAACTTATGAGCATAATTACAACAAAATAAGAATATATTCTGTCATTAAATATACTTACAACTAAGCTGTTATGCAGAGCTCTCCTCTTTTGCTTTTCTTTCTCATATCTCTCTGTCACCTCTTGTAGGGACTGTTCAAGATCGAAAGCTTTTATCTGAAACACTAGAAGAAACCTATTTCAAAGAACTGAACTCTGTGACTTTACAAAATGAATTTTCCAGTAGCACCTCATGAAATACAAGCATAAAACCTTTTTAACTTCTACCAAACTTTAATTAGGAGGGTTAGTTCCTGATTTACTAGACACCTCTGAAAAATCCCATCATACTTCTTGCTATGAAATGACTATGCAAAGTTACAGATATTTAACACAGGTATACATGTGAAACCTTGAAAAACAATCAAAACAACAAGATATTTAAAGGCAGTTCAAATGTGTCAGTTTAGTTAGAGTAATGTTATCTCTCAGTGAAGCCTGAAACTCAAACCTGAAGTGACCTGCTTCTGGATGGGGCTGTCACTTGCAAGGCTCATGCCATATTTGCAGATTATTAGATTCATGCCAGCTAACTTCACAAGAAGTTAACCTATCATTTATCCTCAGCCTCATTTACAGTGCTACTAATCCTGTAAAACAGCTATAAGGTTCCCCTTTACGATAGGTGCATTCACTTCATGGGTAGGATTTCATAAAAAATTTGATCTTTTGGACCCCAGGGAGTCCCTTTCACAAAACTGAGACCAATACAGGTCATTGTAAAAGCCTTCCAACTTCACAAATAGCTTTATTTCAGCCCAATTACATTAAGACTTAGCAGGCCTAAAACAAACACACAGCCCAGAAGACACATAACGTGACTGTAAACTTGTGTGAAAAACAAGCTTTTAGGAACTCCAGTGGGAAATCAATCTCCCTAGTACTTAGTGAGCAGTTTGAAGATGTAGAGTAGCAAGCAGTCAAAACCATGGTCTGAGAGCTGAGTTAGCAGGATGGCCATCAGCCTCAGTATGTGCTACCTTACAAAGAAAGGAACAGATTTAAAATCTCAGCATGTCACACATATGATTTATGCTCTCTGGTATAGATTAAAAATCAGGTAACTTCAAGGGAGTTTGTGTACACTGGAGATTTCTCAGATCTTTTTTTTGTAATACCTATGCTGTTCACCTCCAGCTCATAATGTTCCTCCACAAGTGCATGCATGGAGGGGAAACACGATGTTAATAGTTGAGGAATCAAAGTCTAGGAGTTTCACTAAGAAAAATCCTTACCCTGCATCCTGTATCTGGAGTAACACTAGTGTGTCTTGGTTTGGAGAATCACATGCAATATGTTACAATAAATTGTCAAAAGTGACTCTTATAGTCACTCCTAATCATACAGTATTTTTCAAAATAGGAGGTTGGAATCCATTGATTATTCAAGTACTCTCCATAGTAAGTATCTTAATTTATAAATTTGTGTACACAAACTTTAAGTTCCTGAAGACTCTTGAATAAGCAGTAAAGTAAGGCAATAGGTGCTAAGGGTACTCCTCCATTCTTCCAGTCTTGAAAGAAAAAAAATACTACTTTGTTTCAATATTGAGGTGGTCTTTTCATGAGGACTCAGAGAAGCCTACTGGACATTATAGATCCAGTTTCAGTTAAGTTAGGCCCTAATTACTCTTTTTTTTTTTTTTTTTTTTTCCTAGCTAGCTGTCCTATGGTAAAGATGACTGTGAAAACAGAAATCAACCTTGGGGCTTCCTAGTTTGACACCAGGGCTTTTGAGCAGACAGATTCTGCAATCTCCAGAAAATTATTTAAGTTTTTGCCTTTAGCAGACAGTATTTTGATATTTGTAACAGTGAACCATCAGTTTTAATGTCCATCTTCTATAAGGCTTTATGTGCAGCACAGGAAAACTTCTAGAATAGAAACTCCACAGAGCAAGTTTCCTAATGCATAAATTATTTCTGAACTTTTAATTTTTCTGAAAGTGGAGCTATATAAACACTTATTTAACATTTTCCTAGTTTTCTGCTTGGCATCAGCTGCAAGCTATTCAGAAGTTACATTTTCATCCACAACCTAGGGGCAGCCACTGGGTGCATCTGTTTTACCATACTAATAACCCACTTTTCATTATTCAAAAGAAGTAGTCACTACATGCCTATAGCCATCATAGAGATCCCTTTCCCCCAGGCTTTGCCCACATTTCATACAGAAACTTTCTGGGAGCTGGGAATGCTGATTTTTCTGTTAAAATGCCACTGAGCACAGTTAAGATCTTCATCAATAATCAGACTAACAGTTGTAGAAGAGCGATGGCTTGCGAACATGTTCAGGATTGTAATGTTTCTTTAATTAGCATTCATGGTTTAGGAACATTTCATTCCCTACCATTCAGTGCTGCACCAGACCTTCTGCTGTGCTGGCACAACTGCTTCCACGGTCATGTGGAGGTCTAAAAGCAATCCTTCTTGCTGAGTAATTTCTGTCCTGGATCAGCTCCCTGATCCATTTTGTGTGCAGTCACCAGCTCAACGGAAAGGTCCATGATGGGGATGTGAACAACAGGAGCAGCATACCGCAGCACAGCCACAGCCTAGCACAGATATGGATGTGTAGCTGTCCCCATAGTTCCCTGGGGTTTTTAACGTTTCTTTCCATACTAGATTCCAGTTTAAAAAGGAGGTCGATCTGACCATGCCTTCTAGGATAAGCAGCTAGAATGTAATACACTCAATTCCAAAATTTCTTTTGAATTCAGCTGTGGTTTATATCCTGGACTATAACATTATTTTCAGGCTGCTGCAATATTCTGTTGTTGGATCCAAGGTCCCTCTCCTCCTCCCCTACTCCACTAAGAAGGAAAGGCTTTCCAAAGGCAGCTGAGCGGGTGGGACTCTGCTGTTGAGGGTAAGATATAATGGTAGTTCACATTCCACAAATATCACTAGTCATCAGCACAGTACAGAACTCAGCTTTCTCCAAGAGGAGCGCAGCACATATGTGCCAGCATATGGGCAAAGTGGGAAATAAGCTCCTAACCCAATTTTTCCTCTTCTCCACCCCAGAAAGCATCCTGGAACCACAAAGGCTATCTCACTGGGCTACAGTAGCTTTCAAAAAATGTCAGTAATCTGCAGCAAATCCTCTGTCACATATTCTCTTGGACAGATTTTGCTCCTTAGTACCAGCCACTTTGCCAAGCAGCGAGAACAGTGGTTTCCCCCCTCTGAAAATATGTTCTGCATGTACAGATACTGTCGTTACCTCTTTCTCATAATACCTGCGTGGTGAAGCAAGCTAAAAAGTAATCTTAAATTTTTAGAAATTCCTACCCTTCCAGAGATCTGCTGAATTACTGTATCTGCCTCAGTAGTATCATTTGCAGTAAGGTGGCCAGTATTTTTTGCTAAAACGATAGCAGCTTTCTTGATGAGGGAAACAGGCCTATAACAAAAGAATAATGGGCACTTCTCTCTCTCATGAATTACTACTATTTAAATTTCAGTGGGAAAGATGGCAATAGCCTGGTTTTCAGACTGTAAACAAATATTTCTAAGCAAGGTACTACTCAGTTATTACAGGAAAGTTTTATAGTTTGGTGCATGTCAACTACAGCCTTGAAATTAACCTACTTGAATGTTTCTTCTATAATTCTCTCCCTCATTTTCAATCTCTATTTTAGGATTGAAATTGTAACATATACTGTCTCCAGAATACATACTTTGGGCTTTCTGTTTACAAAAGATTAGATGGAATCTAAGGATAGCAATTCTAACTGTCATATTTAACCTTAACAATAGAATCTCACTCTAAAACATTCGACAGAAAACTGAAAAATAAATTAAAAAACTTAATTAAAAACAAATGAAAAACATAAGCTATCCACCTAAGTACCAACACACTATTTTATTATAGGCAAGGAAGCGTCTCCTGATTATGATTTCATAGAACAATGCACCACAAAGTGCAAATTGAGAACAGTCAACAGGAATTTGCAAGGCCTCATGAAAAATACTTACTCTTTATTTACACCACAACAGCTCAAGTGCCAAATCCAACCTCCTATCTGTTCATTTAGCCCTCTGCTTCAATAAGGGAAACATTTACCTTTATCTAGGGTTAACTTTCCACTTTATTTACTTTCCATTTTAAACACAACTTGATTAAGCATTTTCTCTACATGGGTAATAAATCAATTTTAATCATAACTTAGAACATAACATACAGGGATAAATTCTGCAACCACCCATTATTGAGAATGCTGGTTTTTGCTATTGGCATGAGTAGTCCCATCAGAATCAAATCAGACCCAAAATTAAATATTTCATCCAAAAAGTAAAGCAGGAGAAAAACGTACCTTTTAAATGGCAACACAAAGGATATCAGAGCATCACCCAGGGACTCTGATTATAAAGTTGTGCATTTGTTGTTAGTTCATCAGGCTGCTAAACTTCAAAAAATTTAAGCTCTGTATGTGTCGTGTGCTTCTCAGGCCTGGTAGGAGCTCCACCAGAATCAATGCTATTGAAAGCAGGTGCAGAGATCCATGCCAAGAGATCCAGGTGTAGGACCAATGTACTTAGTCCTCAGTGACAAGGGAGGGCAAAGCATGCCAGTGCGCTGCAGAGTCTACTTTAGATGGACATGTGAACAAGGAAGGACCTGAATTCTGAAACAGTAGTCCACGTGGTGTTATTATCTAGTGAGTGGAACTGGTTTTGATTTGGAAGTAAATTTTTCTCCGTAAATCCAGAGAAATATTAAAAATCCAGTCTGTACTAAATTCAGACAGTATTTTCAGAAGCCTCTGAAATCATTCAAGTCCTTTTCTGGTACAGTCAAAAGCAGACAAATTTCAGCTAAGGCAACACATTCTTCATTCAACCATTCTAAAATAGTCAAGATAACAAGCCTGAGAACTTCAGATTAAAAATGTTACAGCTGAGCCAACTCAGCAGCAGTCTAGTAGCAGCTGCAATCAACACAAAAGCTAAATCCAAATTATCAGTCATAACCTCTGCAGAGTTATTTGTACTTTTTCTAACGCTTCAGAAATCCTTGATGTCCTCATGTCAGACAAAAAACAAGTGCTACAATTTCAGTGACACGCTTCTCAAACATCAAACAAAACCTTTTAATGTCAGTAACATTTAACAATGATATTGTTGATGTAACATGGTTGAAAAGTAAGTGCAATGAGCCTTACTTTGCATTGCTTCATTTTGCAGCTGTATCCCTTGGACTGCTGTCAAAACTTGGTAAAGGTAAGTCTTGCTTTGACGCTGAAAGTCTTTTGAAAGTTCAAGAGCAAACGAACGGAGGCTCTTCAGGTCTTGCTTAAGCCTCTTCTCAACAGGAAGAAAAAAATATGTTATAAAGACACAAAAACAGCAGTTAAGGAAGAATCAATATAACAACAACACAAATAAATATAGTGAGATATCACAGTCAGGAAGAACCCTCTACTTGATGAGAGGAAGTCTTCAGGAGTACATTTTTCAGCATGTTTAGAGAAGGATCCTGCAAGATATTTAGCAATGGCATTTCTTAAAGACTTCAGCAAGACTTTATGGATCCTTACCATCTTATGGTACATACTTTTGACCATAATGCAGCTTCAGGTATAACAAAGTTTTTTCTTAATTCATCAAACAAACATAAGTGTGTGTGTTCTGTCCACTTATAAGACATATCCAGAATTAACAACGAAAAATTCTGATCCACATATCCCTTACTGCATTCATTTTCTACACTTTGATCAGGAGGTATTTGCTAAGCTTCACTTTAAGTCATTTCTTAAATAAGCCAGTTCTATGCCTTCCTAGGAGAGTAGATATATTTTGAAAAGATCAGAAACCTTTATTGTTCAAAAAGGTATTTATATTATGGATATAACTCAGCATAGCATACATGATGAGATTTTTAAATGTGTATATTCACTTAAAAGTCCAGAAAAAATAAAAACAAATTGACCTGATTTTAGGATTAGTAGACTTCTTGACATGGAAGTCTTGGAACAAACATGTAAAACCATCTGTAAGATGAACTTAACAATATCTTCTCTCACAGAAGCACTCTGACGTTTCATTAGTCAGCCTGGTACAAAGTGTCATATATCGTGTAACATTTTATTTTTTCCAAGTATAGTACTGACCTTGAATTAATTGACTAGTTTCAATAATAAATCAATAATCTAAACTAAAGGGAGAAAAACACTCCATTTCTGACTCTCAAAAACCAGACAATATAACTGGGAAGATTTTTTTTTTTTAAATTACAGCTGTAGGATTACCATTAATCTAGACTTTTATCTAGAGAGCTTTGCTCTCTCCTAAAATTCATTGATCTCTGATAATAAACCATCTCAATCCACTGGTATTGCCTCACAAGCAGTGCTGCCATTCTAGCTAACCTAAAATGTAAAACACCATCACAAAATTTACTGAGCAGAGTCACTGTAATTAGAATAGCACAGCATAATTGAGTCGGAAGGAACCTTCAACGATCATCTAGTCCAACTATGTTACAATTCAGCTACATCTTTCTGCCTGTTAAGAATCAGATTTCTTTCCTGAGATACTTTTCAGTCATTTTATGCAGGTATTCAGTGCTGCCCTGAGAAAAGCTGACATTTGCTAGCGTCCCTAAAAGGAACTCACTATTATATGGAGTAACTTAAGGAACAAGTATTTCAACAAAGGAAAATACTATGGTACTGGTACCAGGAGAACAGTTCCGGTCTCTTTGGTGCAAAATTAAGACAACTTGAGTGAGCACACAGCAAACTACTCTCTTGTGAGGTCCACCAGAGCATAACTCTTAACGAAATAATGGAGCTCTCCAATGCTTTTTTAAAAGATCTGCTTATCTGGTTAAAGTATATCACAATTATTGTTTTTTTAGGGAATGTCTACATGATAGTCAAATCAGGGATTGCAAGGTTTTGCTTACAAAAATATCTAGCTTGGTTATTAATAGCAGCCTATACATAAGATCCTGGAGCTCAGGCACAGCCACTTTTACCAGCTTCTCAGGTAACTTTGCAGCCTATTGCAGCAAAACCACTATAAATTTTAAGCTAACTCAGACAGTGCTACACTTTACTGCAAGCACTGCTGTGAATACAATAAAGCCATTAATCAGGTTCATATCGGACCATTTTCTGGGTCCATTTTTCATACTATATTTGACAAGCATGTAAACGTTTAGGGCATGAAATATGCCTACATTACTACTAAGCATCTTTACCTTTATTGCTCCATGCAGCTGGGTTACAACAGAACTCCTCTGCAATTTCTGCTGCTGGCCACGAGCAGAGTAGAGCTGCAATACTTCATGAGTGCTTCTTCCAGCCAACCCTTGATACTGTTTTTAAAAAAAAAAAAACAAACCCTAAAAAAATCACTTTAAAGTGCTCATGTTTTCTGTTGCATTCTGTCCATTTTGTCCCTGTAAACATTTGTAACTCAACTGTCTGATTACATGTTGTAAATACATAATTTCTTTGCTTTTACCTTTTTCTGAGTCACATGAAGGACCACCTCAAGGTAACTGGCTAACATTCTACTTCCTTAGGTTGGTAACGCTCAGCATCAGATTACCAAAATGCTTTTGCAGTACCTAAACCCCCTTACTTACACTTGAGATGGATCTAAATGGTTACAACTGTGCCTTCGCTTAGGGAAAAGGGCTGGTTACATAGCTGGTTTCATAGCTGGTTTAAGCATCTTCCAGCCAACTGCATTTAATGCAGAAAGCTCTCTGAAAGGACAGGAAGCAGAACGAGGACACGCATACACCTGTGTTAACCACTGAAGTCCTGAAAGAGCTGGTAATACACACACAACCCCAGTTCAGCGTTCACTACTCTAGCTTCCTGACAGCACCGACCACATTACATTCAGTAGAGTTGCAATGGTGCAAAACTGTACCAATAAAGCACTAAGCTGGGTCTTCAGAGATCAAAGCAACCAAAGCAATTTTTAAAGGATGCGGAGAAGAATGCTTTCTAATAATCTAAAATTACCTATTGTGCAAATGCAATTTTTATGGCCAATTTTATTTTTTTAGATATTGAAATAAAAAGGAAAACAGAAACAGCGCAACTTTAAATATTTACAGGCAAGAACACAAAAAAGAAATCTCCATAGAACACTTGTGAAATTCTGCAATATGGCAGAATCTGCAAAATATTAAAAACTGCATTTTCATCATTTACTGACAGTCCTGTTGCTTAAAATGAGCTGCAACTTCTTCACCTGCTTTCCCCTGCAACCTGTTGACATTTATCATTCCTTAACCAGTACTAATAGACTCTTTTGTTATTTTTGGAACGCACTTGTCCCTAGCATAGACTTAGTTCCTACTTTATTCAGGCCATAAATTCTGTGACTGCCGTTCCCTGATATTTAAACTAACAGAGCACAGAAGAGTACGACATGAAAGAGCTACATCTGCTCACATAATGGGTGTTATTTAATACCAATCATTTGATAAGTAAAAAGTAAACATTTAATTACAGTTTAACTCAGATGACATCTACAAGAACAACAATACAACATCCTGGAGCTGTTAAAATAAAGAAAGACTATATTTTCCAAGAAAAGTACTTCATTTATCTAAACCAACCTTTTCATGTGGCTTTTTCACCTTCACAAAGCATGCATCTTCTATTTACAGATGCAACCTGAGGGCCTGCACAGCTATACAACACCTTAGCACGAATATAAGAAATTCTTATGTGGAAAAGAAATAGCAGGAAGATATTATTTTAAAAGGAGTCTCTTTTTTTTTTTTTTTGTTACAGGCTTTAAGCTACCAGAAGTTGAGACCAATTCTATACAGTGTTCACATGTCCTTTTACTCTGAGGATTTTTTAAGACTCACATTACTCAGATGCAATATTTACAAACACACTTGACAAAAATGCATACAAGTAGCTCACTAGAATTAGTATCTCTAATCACATATGAAAAGATAAGCATGTATATAAGCAATTGCAGTATTCAAGCCTTATTATTAAATAAGTTTAAGCTAGTTAAAAACCTACTTTTAACATCTAATGCATTGTCCACCATCTGCACAGGTTCTCTCTGACTCCCTCATTTTTCTCAACATGAACATTAAAGGGGAATGGTCAATTCCACTTCCATTGCAGTCAATCTGTCATCACTTCCACTATCAACTTTATTGCAAAGGCTACCTTGGTTTTGAGATACTGTCCATTAAAATAGTTTTAGCATTCATCAGAATTGTTTGTATGCCAGAACTTGCAAATTTGTGCTCGTGCATGAGAAGGAAAAAACTAACTGTAAAACTTGTTACAGTCAGCTTTATTATAAACAGAAGGGAAACTGAACTACTTAATAGTGTTCTCCAAAGTGAAATCTCAGTTCTGCAATTGGATCCATTCTGGCAGACTTAGTTTATGTATGGAAGATAGCAGGATCAGGACCTCAAAGACTGCAAACAAAAGCAAGGGGCATGCAGGTAGAAAAATACCTTTCCAAATAGGCAAAAGCAAGTCTGCAAAGAAAGAATCTTTCTTATGTTCAATAACAACCCTTACAATATGCTGCTGGGATAATAATATACTGGGATGTGGAAAACAGCAGCAGTGCTGACATTCATGATTGTCTTAAGGATATAAGCAAGGGAAGGTGTATAGCAACAGATAACATTTGTATTAAGTTCATACAACCTACAGACCAGCATTTACACTGCAAATCCTAATTTATGGCTCTCCTCATATGTTTGTCTCCAAAGCTCCCTCACTCACTTCAGCCAAAACAAATCCAATTAGCTTTTACAAGTTAAGAATGAGACCTCTGTTAACCCTGGTCACTGTGACTGAACTTGTTACAGCTCAATCATTCAGGCAGCTCCACCACCAGATCTGAAGGGTCAGTGACTGATAGCTGAGGGCAGTAAGTTTTTTCACCAACTATGCTGGTGAAATATTGGGAGATGGGTGCAACATTGCACAACTTTAAATTCATCTAATTAAAATGAGTATTCTTTTTAATAGAGACTCTTCAATTAAGGTAAAACTATTTCATGTCAGTTTAGCTCACATTTTCAGATTGTTGGGGTAAATTAACCAAGGAGAAGTAAAAGTCTTTTAAGTGTATTGAAAAACTGCCTGAATAGAAACATCAGTGCAAGGTTAATCGCAGGGTATTCCCACAAATCATTTGACGTTCCTGACTGATAGCAGTAACACAGCCACACTCCTCATGTGTCTGTAGGTGCTTGTATCTTCCAGCACATTTTGCGATAAACTGAGATAGTGTTGTATTTAGAAAACTAGGCTTCATTATCTAATACTCATTTAACTACTTCCTAC